CTGATTCCACTTATTGGAGAATCCAAGACTGGTTTGGGTTGGAAAGGACTTCAAGACCATCTACTCCCAACCCCCCGCCATGGGCAGGGACACCTCCCAACAGAACAGGTTGCTCCAAGCCCCATCCAACCTGCCCTTCAACACTGCCAGGGATGGGGCAGCCACAGCTGCTCTGGGAAACCTGGGTCAGGGTCTCACCACCCTCACAGCAAAGAATTGCTTCCCAACACCTCATTTCAATCCCTTGCAGCTTGAGTTCCCACTCATCCCATCACTCGCAGTCCTTGTCTAAAGTCCCTCCCCAGCTTTCCTGCATCCCCTTCAGGCACCAGAAGGAGCTCTAAGGTCTCCCTGGAGCCTTCTCTTCTCCAGGCTGAACAACCCCAACTCTCTCAGCCTGTCTCCAGAGCAGAGCTGCTCCAGCCCTCACACCATCTCTGTGGCCTCCTCTGGACTCACTCCAACAACTCCCTGTGCTTCTTGTGTTGGGGACCCCAGAAGTGAACCCAGCACTGCAGGGGGTCTTACCAGAGCAGAGCAGAGGAGAACAATCCCCTCCCTGGCCCTGGTGGTCCCGCTGCTGGGGATGCAGCCCAGGACATGTTGGTTTCTGGGCTTCCAGCACACAGTGCTGGCTCATGTTGAGCTTTTCATCACCCAACACCCCCAAGTCCTTCTCCTCAGGGCCTGCTCTCCATCCATTCTCTGCCCAGCCTGGATTTCTGTTTGGGATTGCCCTGAGCCATATATTCCTTATATCCCTGTCAGCTCGCTGAAGGAAACTTCTCTACTCCAAAACTATATTTTTTTTTTGCTTTTTCTGGCAGAAATTACCCAGCAGGTGCCAACCTGCAACTCCTCCAGCATCTACCAGATCCCTTCCCCAGCACTAACTGGGAAGCTCGAGCTCCAGCTGCTTGTCCACAGCCTGGACAAGCCTTTGGTTGCCATCACACCACACAGTGACAACTTCCCTGTGTAAAAACCACCAAGAACCAGCTCGGAAGTCCCCTCTGTGCCCAACTTCAAAACTCCTTTCCCTTTCCAAACTGCAGGGCCCCACAACTGAGCCCTCTCTACACGCTTGGCAGGTTCGTTAGCATGTCCCACACCACCCCTTTGGGGCAGAATTAATTGCTGTCATTTAATTAAGCATTTTATTTTCCTGCTCGTCAATCATTTCCAGGCTGCACGATAGTGCTGCTGCACAGGCTCACACAACCCCTGCTCCCCACCAAACAAAGTTTTTTACCCTTTGCAAAGTTTTCAACCTTCTTCTTGGAAAGAGAAGCATTTGAAACATCATTTTTAAAAACCACAAAATAAGCCAAACGTCTCCCCGAGGTGCCTTCAACTCTCTGCCTGCTGGGTTGATTCCCCTTGAACTCCCCCAAAATGTCTGATTTCTAAGGTTGTTTTTTTTTCCTAGTGTGAGGTTTGTAGTTCTCGACGTCGAGGGTGGTTCCCTTCCTCCTCCTCTTCCTCCCCTGCCCCGTGCCCTGCTGGGGGGAGGAGCCCCAGGCAGAGCCCCTGGCCCTGCAGCCCCTGGGCTGCCCCCCAGCTCGGCTCTGAGCCCCAACACCAGAACCCAGCAGGAACGGAGGTGGGAAAGCTCCAGATGGTGGGGTGGCACTGGGAAGGGAAGAGATGGAGCCCTGTGGGTGGGCAAGGGGGAACAGGGTGTGCAGGGGGGGGTGTGTCATGGCAGTGTGTGTGACACGGGGCAGTGTGCAGCATGGCATGGTGGGTGGCACGGCAGTGTTGCAGCAACTTGCACAAGGCTCAGAGCACCCTGGCTACTCCTTGCTAGAGCCACCTTAGGACACAAGACCAAGGCCAGGTTGCCCATGGCAAGCTCCAGCCCGTGGCATTGCCCCTGCTGAGGTGGCAACCTGTGGAGCCTGCGAGAGGAACTGCAGGTACCAGCACCCTCTGCCCAGCCGGGATGAGGGCAGGGGATGGGCACAGCTCCCCTGCAGCAACCAACAGGGCCACCACGCTTTTAAGATCTTCAGGTCCAACCATCACCCAGCACTGCCAAGGCCACCACTAAACCATGTCCCTCAGCACCACAGCTATAAGGCTTTGAAATCCCCCCAGGGATGGGGACTCCACCACTGCCCTGGGCAGCCTGGGCCAGGCCCTGACAGCCCTTTCCAGGGAGAAATTGTTCCCAATATCCAATCTAACCCTCCCCTGGCACAACTTGAGGCTGGTTCCTCTTGTCCCATCACTTGTTCCCTGGGAGAAGAAACCAACCCCCCCAGTCTCCAACCTCCTCTCAGGGGGTTGCAGAGAGCAAGAAGGTCTCCCCTCAGCCTCCTTTTCTCCAGGCTGAACACCCCCAGTTCCCTCAGCTGCTCCTCATCACACTTGTGCTCCAGACCCTTCCCCAGCTCCGTTGCCCTTCTCTGGACACGCTCCAGCCCCTCTATGTCCTTCTTCTCATGAGGGACCCAAAACTGACCCCAGGATTTGAGATGTGGCCTCACCAGTGCCGAGCACAAGAAGAAACCCCTACGGAAATCACCTCCATGCAACTTCTTCAGCGTACATGGACACTTTTAGGTCATTATTTTCCAGTTCTCCCTGGATGAAATAACTCTCACCCTAAAAATACCTGGGATTTTTCCTGAGGGAACTTTGCTAGTGCCTTCACATGGCTGCTTGCTTGGACAAGCTGTGGCCTCCCAGGGTGCAGCCACTGGCAGGAACGTTCCTGTGCCCGAATCTGCAGCACTTCCTTCCCTCCAAAGCCCCACGGCGGGGCCAACCCAGTCCAGCCCAGTGCACCAGCTAACTAACGTTAGTGGTGGTTACAGCCAGGACATGGCTGCTGGGTTCTTCCCTGTGGGAATGAGAGTTCTGCTGAAAGCCGTATTTTAGCCATTTTAAAAACGTAAAACATCACTAACGGCCCCAAAAGGAAAAGCCTGAGCCCTGCGAGGTGTCCCCAGGGGCTGATGGGAGCACGTCCCTGCTCTTGTTCCTTCTTTGAAACCACTTCCCCAAACAAGCCGAGTGGCCTCACTGCAATGCCACCAAGACTGTCCCTCTCTGCCCCATGGAGCCCCACAGCCAGCCAGCCCCACATCCCCACATCCCATCATCACAACTGAGCAAGAGGGATCACCAGCCCTGTGGGGAAAAGTCTCCCTGGGGTTTTTGTGCTGGGCATTCCAGGCTTTTTCCCCTCCTGCACGCCAGGATGCTCCAGCAGAGGGGACATGGGTATGGCACGGCGTTTGTCACTGCTGCAAACTTGAACCATGAGCAAGGTTTTGCATTCCCAGCTCTGTGAGTAATAACTCTGCCAGGGAAAAAGCAAAATGATTCAGAGGTTGCTTTGCCCAGCCCCCACCGCCTGGAAGAGCCCTTCTGCTGAATATTCCTTGCTGCAGGCAAGGAAAGGAGCTGTAAATAAGCGCTGCAGAACCGAACCCCAAACACGATCTTGCATCCTGGTGCTGTCCTGTGCCAGGAAGCTTGTGGATGTCTGTATTTTGGATCCTGCTGCAAGGATATGTCACCCACAGCCACGCAGAGATAGACTCACTGTATCCTCTCCCAACCTTCACCACGTGGCTGATGCCAGCAGAGAACTCAGAGGCAATTCCCACCTGCAGGAGCAATGGGTGGGAATGGGACTGTTCCTGGGAAGTTCCTGTGATACACCAAACTCTGCTGTCACCCCATCTCCAGGGCTTCCTCCAGCATGAAGACAGCTAGGAGGATGGATGGATGCTTTCACGGGGACACTGCAGCTGTCCCCTACCCACCAGACTTCAGGGCCCTGATAGCCACCTCATCCTGGAAATATCCCTGTGCTGGGCACAGTTTTGGACCAAGACAGGGGTAGAGGATCTGTGCAGCATCATTTATAATTTTGGTTGGAAAAGACCTTTAAGATTGCCAAGTACATGATTTTACAAAGACAGGCTGAGAGAGCTCAGGTTGTTCAGCCTGGAGAAGAGAGGGCTCCAACTTTTGACAAGGACAGGGAGTGATGGAACAAGGGGGAAGGGCTTCAAGCTGCAAGAGGGGAGACTGAGATGAGATCTGAGGAAGAAATTCTTTGCTGTGAGGGTGGGGAGACCCTGGCCCGGGTTGCCCAGAGCAGCTGTGGCTGCCCCATCCCTGGCAGGGTTGAAGGGCAGGTTGGATGGGGCTTGGAGCAACCTGGTCTGGTGGGAGGTGTCCTTGCCCATGGCAGGGGGTTGGGACTCACTGATATTTAAGGCCCCTTCCAACCCAAACCAGTCTATGAAGTTCAGCATCATGTGTGAAGCCCCCAGGACTCAGGTCCAACCACCAGCACTGAGCTCTTCCCACCTCCCTGCCCGAATGCCGGTGCCTCATCCAGCCTGGTCCCACTGCCAGCACAGGACACACACCCAACCCACCAGCTCCCTGGCACAGTCCCGGTCCCACGTGGCACCTCCACGCCCCCCCAGGTCCTTTCTAATCCTCGGCCAAGTGGTCAGACATCCCCTGAAGGGATGCAGGAAGAGAAGCGTGTCCCGAGGGAATCCTCTGCTGGGACCACCCATCCCTGGCCCATCAGAAAGCACAGGTGGCTACGGGGCTGCTGCACCAGCCCCACTTCCCTCACCGCTGTCCCCGCGGGCGCGGTACCGGGATGGGGAGCACAGGGCAAAGCACGTTCCCGGGCAGGAACCGCCCCACTGTTGGGCAAACACTGAGGCCAGCAGGAGATAGCAGAGCTGGGCCACCTCCAGCTGCCAGGCAGGGAGCTCTGCACCCTGCCCTCCTTGTCCCCAGGCTGCCAAAAACTGCTGCCACGCATCCCCCGGCACAGGAAGGGCTAAGGAAGCAGGTGGGCGGCTGGCCAAGCGTGCTGGGGAGGGGATCCCCACCATGGAGACCCTCCCTATCCCCCAGGCGTCCCTCCCAGAGCAGGGAGGGGGTCTCACCTCAGTGAAGGGCGCGGGAGTCACCTCTGTGTCCTCCTGCCAGCCCCGCTCCTCAGGGACAAGGCGATGGAGTCGCTGGTGGGGAGGATTGTTGGCCTGATGGGTGCGTGTCCCGTGGGTTGGTACGGGTGGGGAAACCACTCCTCCCCACTGCCCGCTTCCGGATGGAGCTCGGGGTGCCACCGAGGAAGAGGAGGCAGGAGGCGAGGAAGGCCCCCCGGACCCCGTTTGCCTGCCCCCCCAGCCTCTCCTCACCTCAGTCCTGCGGGCAGGGTGGGGCCGGGACTTGGA